TTATATCATTGTATTATTTGTTTTCTACGTCAACCACGTTATTCTTAGCTTATTATATGTATCATAATATGATGATGAACTCTCACGGTGTATAAGTAAATTTACATATTGTTTGTTTTGTTAGGTAAATTCGACGTACGATATTGAATTCAAAACAACGCAAAATCCTTGATGTTATTAAATAAAGGTAGATCATAAAAAGAATTATTTATAATCAAGTATATACCTTTCTACTATTACAAATAACGTTCGTATATAATATAAAGCTATGTTAGTATGATGTTTATACAATTTTATTATCTATTTGTATGCCGTATCCACGCAAACTGTTGAATAATAATGTGGAAAATTATTATAATTTATAGTGAAATAGTTTTTTACTTTGCATTGTGTAGTACTACTATAATGTTGTTGAATATACAGAAAAAAAAATATTTCATAAGAATAATATTATTTGATATGTAATATGAGTAAGGCATAATAATATAATAATGATTATGACCTATTGAGTTGAAAATTTGAAACAAAAATATGTCTGATCGTTTCCTTAAACGCAAGTATCTATACGATATTTGTGATTTTGTTATCGACGAAAATTTAAAATATACATTAGTAATAATGGAATATTGGTACACGGAAATTTTTCTTATTATTTTTTATTTTAAAACTTACTGGTTATGTATAAAAATTTTCGTTAGAAACACTATGACTTCGAATATCCAATCATTTTAACATTATCAGTTTTATAAATTAAATTTTCACTAAATAGCCGAGGCTTAAGAAACTAAAAAACTTAAAAACTTGAAATTTTCATTCAAATAATATATATATATACATATATTATAGATAGATTATAATAGGTGCCTAAGGATAAATCGAATCACATATTATAATTTATTGCATTTAAGGTTAAACAAATTTAAAAAAAAGTGTTCAATGTTATATTCTAATCTTTTGAATTTGAATTTATCATATAATTAATATTGAATAAAAAGATAAATATTTGTGTTTATTTAACGTATAATATAAATTATGTATTATATGCGTTTACGGAAGACTTTTTTTTTWAAAAAAAATGGACAACGTTTGTWCAGTTGTAATGTTTTTTTCTTTTGTTATTAATCAATAAAAATACGCATAAAAAACGAATACCTGCCTCGAATGAATAAAAAAATAAATATATGGCCCTATCTTGCACTTCAGAGTAATCATCAATCAATACAGTTTTAGACGTCGTAGTTTGTTTGGGCGTTATTATTTCAACATAATAATAATGTTAATAGTGAACAAATCAAAACAAGGTTAGGTTACTAATACATATTACTGACTGGTTAATATATGAACAGTATAACATACAGTTTTTAGATAGATCATTTTTAAAACGTTTTACTTTCGATTATTTTTTGATGCTTAAAAGACAAGGTTTGTCCTCGTGGAATTTTTTCCACGGTCGAACGAATTTCAAGAGAACACAAATTAATAATAAAGTGTTAAGAAACGATAAAAACCATCAATTGGTAATCCATTGAAAATGTCCCGGAGCACGAATTTCATTAATGCAAAAGGTGGAGAGCAAAGAGTGGAATATAATAAAAGTCCTCAGGTCTCAGATTAATATTTCGGTCGTGCCGAAAACGATAAAAACCGCTGATGCCGTTAGGGAATGGGTATCAGGAGAGTTGAGACATTGTATGGTTTTAGTAACCCTTTATCTCTACAGTATGTGCATCGGACAGTTTTATTTTTATAGCCAGTTAACAATTTTACTACTGTTCCTACTGTAAAATGAACAGCACTGAAATTAAGATGATGCTCGAGAAACGCACAAAAATTCTTTTCTTTTTTTTATATGTTTCAATTTTAGCAGGAAACCGTATAGGCGACCACTTATTTTAAAGTAGCAAGTGCTAATATACCATACGATGCCGGCGTTAGGGTTTTGTAAAGTAAATAACCTCTAAAATATTGCTCAATATAGGTACATAMTCGAGACTTCATGGTAAATTATTAATACTAAACGAATAGTAAATAATAATAATAGCGTTAATGTACGAAATTCTGTAAATTTCAAGATCCTAATACTCAAATAGTATTTTTAAATTACAACAAAATAACTAAAACAGTTATCAAAGGTATATACTGCTGCAGCAAGTATCAAATTTCATTAAAATTTTGACTTGAAATAYCTTTCTTTTTTTAAATTGTATTTTTGGCTAAAATATTTTAAAGTTGCTGTAAGATCGTATCTTACGAGAAGCAACGTTAAATTCAATGTTAGTGAATTTGTAAATCGTTAACAATATTTGAACTTAAACATTTAAATATTAAAAAAATAAATATTTTCACAATAGGTAATTAAAAAAAACTAACTACCTWCTAACACATTGATACTGATTATATACACATTCACCTTTTTCCTTACTTTTGTACCAAAAACTGATAAATATAAGCGCCGAATATTGTGTGCGTATTATGTATACAGAATAATTATTGTGTAATCAAATTGTGAAATAGAACACAAATATATTATTTTCCTTATGGAAATTTGATTTTTATAAAATRATTTGCGTTGGTTAGTAGTTATATAGTAAAATGTTTTCAATTATTTAGAATTAATATAGCGATAGTTAAAATATATTCAACCGTTTATTGCAATCCTGTAATATTTTGTCTCCTTTTGTTTTAACGATGGTTATATATGTTGTAAATGCGTCTTGTTATGAGAATGGTAAAATACAGCGGATTGAGGTTCAAACCGGATACCTAGTAGACTTACGCACCACTCGTATTATAGTTGGCTTTTGGAGGAAAATTTTAATAATAATAGAATATTTGATGTTGAGACGGATCTTATGAATAACAATCAACTTAACTGCGGAAATATTTATAAACCTAGAGTTTACTGAAACATCGCAGACGTTAATAACCATGTGGTTAAAAAAAAAAACCGCTCCGTGATCCAATAAGCCAAAAGACTTGCAAGTAAACATAAAATAAAAATAATATACAATTGAAAAAATACAAAAAAAATAAAATATGAAAATCTATATATAAGTGCGACTTGTCCGTTGATTACAGACATTGTACACGATCGATTAATTTGATTATCTGGTAAAAATCTATATAATATCTGGTCGTCAGAGTTTAAGTTGTTAGTGAATAATTTTATGAGAATCGTGCTGATCGTACGACGAGATTGGCAAGATAWCGGTCGCTGAGACGTCGAAATTTATACTTGAAAATCTTTACGTATAGTATTAATGACATAAATCAATGATTTAAAAATTAATTTAAAAAATATTACAGCAGTGATGTTTGTAAACTTTATTGGTAAAAAACAAACCATACATTTTTTTGTTTATACTTRATTATTTAGTGACCTACTAATTGGTCTAAGTGTACTTATGTTATCATTATACTACCGTTACACTCATGTAATATACAATATGGAATTATTGGATATTGATTTGTTTTAAAAAAAGTATTAGTATAGTTTGTTTTTTTTTTTATTGGACGTATAAAAATAACTATTCGTTTAAAATGTATAAAAATAAATAGAAGTTACGAATTTTAAGTATCCGACCGGTTAAATATTTAAATAAAATTAGTAGGTACCGTGTAGATGAACCAATGTTTTTCACTACAAAGTGTTAAAATTTTATCATTTATGTGATTACGCACGGAATTTAGTTTTAAAAGTATACAATTATCATAGTAATAACATTAATTTTTAATCTACAAGTTCACACTTTACCGCCAGTCCTGTGAGTTTTTCAAATATTCACTAACGGAATAACGAAGAAATGTACTAATATTTTTTTCTCTCATTCACGTGTTAAAAAAGTTGACYAATTAAAGCTATTTTTAAATCGATCTGAATTACTAAAGCTCAGTCATCTTTCATTCACCATTTTTGACTGTAAATGTAATAAATTGTGCCACCTCTAAAAAGAAAAATCTGATTTGAAAATGTGTGTACCGTGAAAAATAAAGAATGAAACACCGAATCGTATAAATGTTATGGTTCGTATTTGTATTACCATCACATTTTTGGAAATCAATAAACATACAGTTTTCCGAAATTTGACATAAAATATATCATTCAAAGTTCCTTATTTAAATGTAATAAACAATAATATATTTATTTAATTTACAACCATATAGTTTTATGTAAAGTAAATTAATACATCAATATTATTAAAAACAAACAATAGATAGGTAGTTCATAAAATAATATTTAAGATTAAATTTCAATAAAACCATAAGAATAGTAGGAAAATAAAATACTTTTTTTTTAAATTGTTTGAGGCGTTACATATTTAATTTACATTAATTTCTTACATRCTTGCTTAATTTCTACTTATTACCTATATTTACAGAAAATAAAATACTGTTTACTTACCTATATTCAACTATTTTAACTAATTTTTCAATTATCATAATATTTTATTCACAAAGAATATTTATATTCCTAAAAATTATTGGAAAGTGAAAAAATTGTTTTAATTTATATTGAGTTAAAACAAATACGTAGTCAAAATAATCATTAATCCATTAGATTTCAATTTATTAGGTACACCTCTTTTTAGGAATGACCAATAACAATTTAAATTTATTTTTAGTTTTTTGACTATCAAAATAACAGTAAAATGGTTTTTTTTATCATATAATGGAATATTAGCATAAAAAATGTATGATTTTATGTGACATTGATTAGGTTAAGAATATAAATTCATATTTATAAACTTAATAACTATCAAGACCAAATCAATATTGAGTAACTTTAAGCTAAAATTGATTGTTCTCAATTTATTAAAATACTATATAACATTATGATTCTATCAGGAAAAAACATAATTCTTGAAGTATAGTGTCAGATATACCGCAAGGAATACATTTTTTTAAAAGCATTTTATCTAGACTAATACATTGTTAATAATATATCTTATATTTAATACTTATATTCTATAAAAAAAAAATTAAAAATAGTGACTAATTAATAACACAGAATAGATAAATAATAATTTTCACTGATATTCTTTCTTAGAAGTGTTTCAAGCACAACATTTAATTTATATATATATATATATATTAGGTTATGATCAGAATCCTGTCTAAATTTTGTTCAACCAAGTAGACTTAACTAAATCGGCGCCTTTCTCGCCAATCATGTATGTCGGTGCAACAGTGTGAGCTCCTGTAATTGTGGGCATTATAGAACAGTCTATCACCCTTAGCTTATTCACACCATACACCTTCAGCTGAGAATCCACTACAGCGTTACGATCCCATTCTGGTCCCATTTTGCACGTGCCACTCTGGTGGTGCATCTGCATTGTCATCGTCTCCACACAACACTCCCAGTACTGATCGGTGCCGAATTCTAAATGCCTACATCCGAGCATGGGAGTTTTATGTAAACGGGAACCATACTTTTGAAACGCCTTAGTTTTGCTGAGTTCAATCGTCATTTTTATGCCTTCTACGATTCGTTTCAAATCCATACGGTCGGYGAAAAAGTTCGCGTTTATCACCGGTTTGTCAAATGGATTAGCGCTGCGCAGCCTTACCTACAAATGGACAATATTTTTACCAATTATCAACATTTTTACATATGTATACCAACCAACTAATATATTTTATATGTGAACAAAACACCGTACCTGTCCTCTGCTTTCCGGATACATCAACATAACCCAAATCGACCAAGTGTCACGTGCTAAGATGCCRTTATACGTTTCGTAGTACAGCCTGTCGGGTATACCCATCGACCTCCGTCCAATACTGCCWCCCAAACCCGCTTCTCCCGCCAAACTGGTAGACAGGAATATATACTCAATATCAGGTATGTCTCCTATATCCGTGTTGTACTTGGTTTTCACGTAACCAACGCCTTCTGGGGGTAAAGTCGTCATCCAACTCCTTTTTTCATATATTTTAAATGCTTCGTTTATTAAATCACGATATATTCTGTCCGGAACGAATGATATAGTTTCGTTTACTAGAAAAGTTAGCCCGGCAAATGCTGGRTGTTCTTGTAAGTTGTCTCCAACACGTAAATCACTTACGGTTTTTATACCTAAAGGGCCAAGATGTTCTTTAGGCCCAATACCTGACAACATTAACAGTTTAGCCGAGTTAAACGTGCCTGCAGATATTATAACTTCCTTTTTAGCAAATACTCTTCTTTTCCTTTTATTCTTCATGAACTCGACCCCATACGCCACTTTTGTTTGGTCATCAATTAAAATTTTTGTGACATACCCAAATTCAACTATATGCAGATTATTTAATTTTTCGTGGAGATATGCTCTCGCAGAAGTAACTCGTCTACCATTCGACGTTGTACTTTGAATTCTGGAAAAGACCACATTACTACCTGGTGCGTTATAATCGCCAACAGACATTCCGACCTCAGGTGCTGACTCCAAGAATGCATCGACCAGTTTTGACTTAAATTCAGGATAGCTAATCGGCAATGGTCCTCCAACTCCGTGATAAGGGGACCTTTTTAATTCTGGTACGTTTATGTTTTCGTTTTTTAAGAAATACGGTAGTACATCTTTATAAGACCATCCTCGATTTCCTGCTTCTGCCCAACGATCAAAATCTCTTACATTACCTCTTGTGTACATATTATTATTAATTATTGTGCTTCCTCCTAATCCTTTCCCTGCTGGCCAAGGGCAAGTCTTGTTTATAAGCCCTCTACAAGCATATAACTCCTCTTCCGTATGATATGCCCAATTGTAATTTGTAAATTGTAAATAGTGAGCAATACTTGGAAGAGAAGTTATCAATGATTCTTCTCCACCAGCTTCCAATAGTAGTATGTTCCATTCTGAGACTTCCGCTAACCGCCGTGCGACAGTTGCTCCTGCAGCACCAGCTCCTACCACTATGAAATCGTATTCATCCAATATTTTTTTATTTCCAAATTGAGGATCTTCGTGAAATTGAATTAAATTTTTACGGTAAGCCTGACCCAAATATTTGAAGATATTTATTGAAAAACACGGACCAACAAATAGTAGAAAAATTCCAAGCGTGACAAGTCTAACAGTCATGGTTTAAACTGTATCTGAAAATACAAAAGATGTTGGTAAATTATAAATAAACATTTAGATATATTATGGAACACTAATTTAAATTATTTTGATTTGATTATATTGGTTATAATGAAACGTTCTAAACAGTACATTATATCAATAAAGTTATAATATGAATAATTTTTGAATTTTATTTATAATATTTTATTATGTATTATATTGAGTCAATAAATTACCAAAATAGCAAAATAAATATATATCATGGGTATATTTAAAAGTTTTATACTGTAGCGTATTACGTGATTTATAAGACATACGGTCAGCTTCAAGGTGTTATCATATTTACATAATATTAATTTGTTGAACCTTATTTGAATGTTATAATAGACACATTTTTAATAAATAACTCGAGTACCCAGCTCAACGTCGTAAACATGCGCTCACTTATCATGTATTCATAACGACATTGCGATAAACTTGAAAATAGTAACACTGTCAATTTTAGATACCCTAGGTATAAACTTACAGTTTACGAAAACTTTCAAAAATATGATTTAAGTTTCCTACTTACACATTATTTGACTTATCGCATTTAATATTCTAACATGAACGTATTCTAGGTATATGCCCTTAGACATAATTTTGTGAATTTATATAATTTTTTTTTTAATGGTTAATATTATAGTATACCTCATCTTGTTTTTTTTATGTATAAGGAATTTTTATTAGTTTTTAATAGGTACTAATGTATTCTTTTCTGATATTTATTATTAAGATATGAGTTGAACAGGGAACATAGAACGTCTTTATCTATAAAGAATGTCTTTTATCTTATTCTATTGAACTTTTTACAATACTATAATAATAATAATTTAAAGCCAAAAAAACGCTAATTTCTTTCTATTGCGACCAATTGAAATAAAAAAATACATATTTTCAAAAAAATGTATCTTGAAAAATACTATGTGCTTAAATTATAAGTTGTAATAAATAACTTTTAAAATAATGATTATTTTAAATGCCATTAGATGCAATATATTTTATAAAAGATTTAACAACCGTTTATCTCATAGTTACACCCCTTTAATTAAAAACCTTCACAATCCAAGCAGCTCTCTTAATCGCTTAAAATTCGAATGGTGCTGAGACCTTTTACAATGTTAACTAAAAAAAAAAAAATGTGTAAATAAACTATATAAATATAAATTTAATAATCAACTAATAAAGTGTCATGGTTGCATAGCTTTTTGGCTTTTTTAATCAATTTTTATACCATGGTATCTATATTATATCATATCATATTTTTATAATATCTATTGATATAGATGTACATTTGTTTTGGACTTGAAATAAAAACATACACACAATAGATTTGCTCAATATTACCTTAACATTGAGTTATTTATAATAATGATAGCAAAAAAAAAATTATGAAATGAAAACCTATATAGACTTTTGAGTTTTATGATTGATAAACATAATTAATAGTAATTATATTATTTCTAGAAAAAATAAATAGATATACAGTACTCAACGTCACTCGCCTTTACATTCATTTGTTAATTACATTGGCAATATTTTTCTTAAGAACATTACTATGAATAGTATTGTAAAATTGCGGAAACATTTTAAATATACCTAATGAAATTTATTAATAATATCATATGTACTAAAAATTGATTATATGATTAAATAATGGACTTTATTATCAGTAGAAAACCAATAAAATATTATTATTTGAATTATGTATAATGTTATTTGTCTAAATTGTATAATATACATGAATATGGTAATATGTAAAATAAAATAAATTCCTCACATTGGAGACATTTCATTTAAATATTAGTTTGAAATTGGAGTTTCGAAAGTATCTACAGTTATACATTTTTATATAACATCAAATATTAGATGTTGCTAAAATTATGTTTTAGTTACAATTATTCCCGTTTTTATCTGATTAATTTAAAAATAATTGAGAAATTTTGCTTTTAACCACCCAAAGCATCAAATAGGTTGGAATTTCCTCCAAGATTTAAAATATTTTCTACTACAAAAAGTGTTTTCGGGCAATGTTTATTGCACACACATAATAATTAAATGTAAAATAAATATTAAATGTACGCATGAAACTCTAAAATAGAAAATTCCATTTTTTTAAATTATGAAAAAAAAAAATAACTTCTTTATTCCACAAAATGTTATATTGATAATATGTTGCAACACTCACGTTAGTTAAAATTGAATTTGATTGTAGCTAAATAAATGTAAATTTAAAATGTTGTTGTTACTTAATCATCTTCTCAGCCCGTTCCGACCATGAAATAAGTTTTTATATGGAATTTTTATTACTTCTAGTTCTACTGATAACATTTTTTCAAGGTTCCTTCTTTGTATTAAAATTAGTTTAAAAAAATTCCAGACAAATGATTCCAGATATTCATAGAAAACCACTTTTAAGTACTTCACCTAAATGTCTGAAATCACGAAACTGGAAGAAATAAAAATTATATTTTATTTTATACTAATGTTGTGACTTGTGAGTAAAGGAAACTGTAAGTAATCATTCATTTTTAAGTCTCCCACCCCCACTGAATATTTCTGCGTACGCCAATGTCTATAATATTATGTACCACGCTCAACTACAACTTACTGACGTAATATTTTTGAATGGTTATACGATTCTATGAGGAATGAGGAAACGGGAAAAAATTTTACAACATTTTTTTTGTTGATTATTCATTTCTGACTATGTTGCCAATTATATATTATTAAACATAATATTTTTCTTAATTGAAACCTACTTTTAATATTATTAGGCTGTACCTAAAATTTAAAATAAAATCGAATATTCAAATGAAATAAATCATTATTTTAGTCGCATATAGTTTAACTACAATCGGTTCCAGAAGTTTCTAGAGACTCCCGTAAATTCCCGTCACACTGAATTTCCCGTTTATTACCCACCCCTAGATTAGGGTACATGATATGAATCTTAAAAATATATAACGAACAAAATATGATGTATTGTTACTTACATATAACCACTTGATGTACAACGCACAACTGTCGGACTTACATAATCTGGAATAAAATATTCAACAACTGTTAAAAAAATAAAAGCTTTAAGCGCATAGTGGATATTTTAAAAACATGATTACTAAAACATAGAGAAAAATATAAATATAATATGTACCTCCTTGTTAACTTCTTCAGAAATGCTGGTGTACTGCAACAATATTTCATCGAAAATGACCACATGCACATGCCAAAACGGCAAATATAATTATTGTAAAAACCAGTTTGTTTATACCGTCACAAGTTCAATACACCAACAAAACTGTGGACGGTTCGATGACCTTCGAAATGGAATAAAGTTTTGTGGTTATAGAACCAATAGGCAACATACATTTTACGATACGTAGGTACCAAAGTTATGATACGAAAAAACTACCTTTTTTAAAAATATTATGAAGGAATCAATATTTTATGATCTACCGGTACATTTTAATATGATATCATACTCATTTATATTATCATACTCATTCGCAATAGTTGTAATAACTGTAAAATATAACAACTGGTAGTCTGACCTTGTTTCATACTTGGATATACTGTAAAACTGGTTTGCCTCTATAATGTGCAATAAAATAAAAACCATAATATGTACACACTACACAATAAGAGTCTAGAATAAAGTAAACAGTTTTTTTTTCTTTACGGGATCCAACTGGGCTGTGTGAAGAATGAAAATCATTAGTATATATATATATATATATTACGATTAGACCGGAATATAGATGTGTTCGAGTTATTGAAAATTTATTTTTGAAAATTGCATTCGGTTTTCAACTTGAGATTTGGTGCCAATATTTTTTTACTTTCACTTTAAAAATATAAACTACCTACCTCATGTATGCATATTATTATAATAGAAAAAGAAATACAACAATGAGAAAATACATTTTTAAAGTCATTACTTGTTTATCTATACATCATAATATTATCTTTGGTATTTTTTTTTTTAAATTAATAATTCTACGGAATCTATTTAAATACAATTTATAAACATTACAGTGTTACATTGTTTATGACTTTATGAGCATTTATAGTTGAAATCGTTTATTAGATGATTGTGTTTTAATCATTCAATGGGTGTTCTTACTCAATATTCAGCACGCAATGGTCAATAGTATTTTATCTTTTATCACTCTAAAGTTGTGCTACTCTACCACTCCTAAAAAATTATATTGGCTGTATGTTCATAAAACGTCACGTAAACATTTTGATCAAATACAATGACCCTGTTTTTAACAAATATACTATTATTAGGTATTAACATGGTGTAAAATCTCAAAAAATTTTCTGAATACATCAATGTATATGTCGCATCCACTTAGTGTAATCGTATTTTTCATGAMATGGATATCCATTTYATGAACTACGATCATATCGTGTAAGTCAAATTTTAGTTCATGAAATGGACATATATTTTATCCATTTCATGAAATGAAAACTCTTATTTTACACTTTGTGTAATRTTTTAAATTAATTACATCAATAATAGCTAATTTTTCGTGAAATTGAAATCTTTAAATACTACATATCATTATATTAAACTCTCATTTGTTATGAAAAAATACAATCAGATTATTATAATATAGCAACTATATAATAATATAATTACCTTTATATTAT